GAGAGAGAGGAAAAACAACAGTGGGAGCACACTGACCACCAGGGGGCAGCTCCTGTGTTGAGCGAGAGAAGCGCATGTGTGGGGAAATGGTTTTGAAACTTCTAGAGTAATAATACAAAAGTAAATAATTTAGAAATCTATAATGCCTCCTTAGTGGTAGGTGTTATTTTAATCTTCAAATTAAACTAACAGACAACAAAAAATTAACCAATACAGCCCTTTGCTAATACAGCCTTTGATGCAAATGTAAGATTTTTATAAAATGAAAAGAACTGGTAAGTATATGGAGTCACATTTATCTAATATTCTAGGTGTGTGACAATATGTACCTGCTGGATACTTTTAAAGGAGGCGAGTAGGGATGTCATTCCTGACCTGCTGGAGACACCTGTCTCTGTTCTCTGTTGGCCCCATCTAACTGGCAACCATGCTTACCTGGTTCCAGATGGTCCCTGGTGAATTAGTCACAAGTATTAACCTTTTCCATCCCCCTTTCTGCTACTAAATGTGTACTAAGACTGTTAGAAATCTTTCCATTCCAAAAAATATGTATTTGCTCTATTTAATTCAGTTATAGCTCAGTGTGCATGAAAACCAGTCTCTCTCTAAATTTCCATCACAATTTAAAGTAGTATTCTCTTGGCGTGAAAGTATTCTCTATCTAAGCAATAGCAACTAATATTTATTGGATGCTTATCCATCTTCCAAATGAGTTAATATGTGTCAAGAGCTTCAGTGAGCAGTCATTCTGATACCATCATTATTTTATAATTCAATGACTCTCCAGGCTTCATGTAAACTGTGTTTCTTACAGCATTCACTTGGCATATCTGTGAAAAGGAGGGTGGAAATGACTGAACAGGAAATTGTACATTGGGAATCCAGGGTCTGGCATGCACGCAATGAAGATATTTCTGATTATTAACACTGATGCTGATAAGAGGCTAAAAAGAATTCCAAACAAATGAGAACCTGGACTTACTACATTAAATCATTTTTTTCAACTCAAACATTCCTTCCAAGTGTCTTCTGCCACTTACTAAGCTTAGCACACACATGCAAACAACTGAACTTGTGGGTCTTCAAGTGGCTTCAAAGTATGTTTCTACTGCAGTTGATTTTGAAATTGTCTTCGAAGACGTTTCTCTAAATGTACGTCTCGGCCTGGTGCCCTGGCATCGCCTTCTCTGATCACCAGCTTTCTCCCTCAGCCCGGCCTGAGCCCTCTCCCAGTCGGACATCCCCCAAGGAATCCTTAGCATTGCCACCACCACCACTAGGCTAGCTAGCCGTGAGCCTGGCTTCTGGCTGAGTGGTGCTCCCCCTGTGGGAGCACACTGACCACCAGGAGGCAGTTGCTTTGTTGAGCATCTGCCCCCTGGTGGTCAGTGCACTCATAGAGACCGGTTGTTCCCCTGTTCAGTTGATTTGCAAATTAGCCTTTTATTATACAGGATATGACTCACTGAAATTAGACCATTTTAAAAATATAAACTTAGCAACTTTATGTTGTCCAACTAATACATGATGTTATAAAAAATGAAAAACAGGATATATTAACTTTTTAATCAGCGCATTTACTATATTTAAAAAACACACTCAATATATCCTTCTTTAACTCCCAGACACCTTTTCAAGGAGCAGTACTTTGAAATTTAAATAACGGGTTCACTTGTTAATTTAAGAAGGTATAATAAATGTACGATCTTCTTTGTATTTATAGACTTTTTAGATGCTCTTCAGTATATAGTTTTACTTTTTTCTAATTAATAATTAAGCCCATTGCTTTAAATGCAGGTGCACTGCATCTAAATATATAGTGCGCATATTATTTGAAAATTCAACTATTTAATATATGATTTAAATATTTAAAATTATTATGTTACTATTTTAAAAGTAAACTCATTCTATGTTTCCCAACTAGATGTTGCTAGACAACCTAGAACAGTGATGGCAAACCTTTTGAGCTCGGTGTGTCAGCATTTTGAAAAACCCTAACTTAACTCTGGTGCCGTGTCACATATAGAAATTTTTTGATATTTGCAACCATAGTAAAACAAAGACTTATATTTTTGATATTTATTTTATATATTTAAATGCCATTTAATAAAGAAAAATCAACCAAAAAAATGAGTTTGCGTGTCACCTCTGACACGCGTGCCATAGGTTCACCATCACTGACCTAGAACATTATTAAGATCAAAGCTCTGGTTTTGTGGCTCATGCTTGGATTCACCACCAATGTTCTTCTCTTAGATTAGTCACAGATAACTGATAGAAGTCTGAAAATAAGTTAGCTAAACTAGAGTGATCCTTAAAAACATGTCAGCCCATGGTATTTCTCTGCTCAAAGTCCCCCTGAGGACCCTACCTCATTTGGCATAAAAGTTAAAGACCCTACAATCCCCTTCAAGATTCTGCATGATTAGATCCTCTGACCCCGGTTTCTACCATTTTCTCTCACTTGCCTCCTCAAGCACAGCAAGCACACTTGCCCCTCAGGACCTCTGCACATAATCATTCGTTATTTTTGCACCATGGTTTCCTCTCTTCGGGTCTCTGCTCAAATATTGCTTTTTAAACTGAGGCCTTCCCTAACCACTATAATTCAAAATTTGAGCCCTTATCCCCTGACATTCCTATCTTTTTTCTCTCCTTTTTCTCCATAGCACCTATTACCAACTGATACATTTTATGTGTGTAAATATGTATTTATTTACTTATTGCCTAATTCCCCCTTCTGGAATGTTCACTCTAAGAGGACAGGACTTTTTGTTTTATTAGTTCATTGTTGTATTCCTAGTGACTGGAAGAGTACTTGGCACAAAGGATACTTTATAAATGACGCTCAAATGAATGGGTGAGTGAATGAATCTCTCTCTGATTTTATTAGTTATAGATATAATCTCCCAAAGGATCATTTTCAATAATTCACAAAACAAAGCAACCACAAACAAGCAACCTGGTTTTTTAGTAGAAGGTTAGAGAATAAAAGATACATTAGGTATAAGAAATAGTAACGTAATATTTAAAGTAACACTTGCTCTAGACAGCGAGTGAAACTGCAGGAAAATAAACTACACTAAAGTCCAAGGCTGTTAGTTCACAAGTGCAGATTTTACCTGTTCTATCAGGATACCTCTCAAGTGCATATGACTTTTTTTGTGATAAACAAAATCATGGAATCTAATTTATATAGATTTATTCTTTAAATGGCTTCCTGATATTGACTATCTAGGATACAAAGTGAGCATAAACTGTGCTAATTTTACTTTTAAACAATTATGTTTGGGGTATTTAAATAATTCGAGGAGTAAATTGGGAATAGTTTCTCAATCTTTTACGAGAGAAGAAAGACAGAAAGAGAAAACATCATGGAAAAGCTGGTTCACCCGGAAGTGTATTCTTCTCTTACCTTGATGTGCTGGATTCCACCCATGTTCATCCAGGCCTGTGCTTGATCTGGATTTAGTTCCACAGCAGCTTTATAGCTCTAAATATATAAGAAATATCTTCAGGTTGGGAATCAAAAAGAATCCACCTTTACCAACACATAACTGTGAAAACTACTTTCTTTGTATGTGACAATCTAAATGGTTAAGAAAATGAACAGCCACTTCTGGTTCACAGGGGTTCCATTTATTTCTATTAATTTTTAACGCTGATGAGCCTAAAGTAGAGGAAACGGATATGTGTAATTTCCTTGCAGAGCTAATGTTTAGACTTGAGAATGAGACGCCTGCAGGGAATCCGGGGGATTTCTATTATAGTGAATCATTTCCCCTTGGCCTTGACCTGCAAGAACTTGGTGCTTTTTGGCCTTTTTCACTATAAATGGAGTTTGTAAGGACTATATATATATATATTCATAGGAACTTAGTTTCCTAAACGGCTTAACCCTACAAGATCACTGACCTGGTTATTTGGTCTATGCTTGAAATCTTGCAGGATGCTCATTACTCCTTTAAGGATTTCTATTTTACTAGGGGATAGTTTTAATCATTAGAAAACCTTTCTTTTCTTTTTCTTCCATATGAAAGTTCTTCAATCTTTGAAGAGAATTACTTGACCCTCGGATACTTTTTTTGTGCCTAAATTACCTGTATCCGATTAATTTATATTTGTGAGGTATATTTTTAATATTTTGTTTGCTGTTTTGCATCAAAGGCAAGCTCACCACTGAGTCTTGATTTTAAGAGTAGTCACCTTAAATATAACTAAATGTTATGAGTGTTGCCTTTACAAAGTGTTTAATTACAAAGCTAGGTATCTGTGTGTGTGTGTGTGTGTGTGTGTAGTTTAATACTCCTTGCTATTTTCATTAGCAAGAAGGCAACTGACCAGATCCATAAAGTGATGAGAATCTGTTAAGAAACTATATACTGTTAAAAATCCGCTTTAAAGACTTGAAGAATACGTCTTAAATTTTTATCTACAGAGATAGGGTGTAGTATAGATGGGGTATAGATTCAAATCCTGGATCCATTTCTTATCCTCTGTGTGACCTTGAGCAATGTCATAACCTCTGATTCTCAGTTTTTTTTCCAACTGCAAAAGGAGACAATGACCATGACTTTCTTATATGCTTGTTGTGAATATTAAATTACTAATAAGTACATGTGAATCATACATAAAAGTGCTATCACATTTTAGCTGTTACTAATAACTAATGGCTGTACTCTTGTTTTCAGAAATCCAGCTACTCTATGATGAGTATTTGATCCACTGGTCAAGCAACTGATACTTTTGTTTTCATACAATATATAAGATACAGACCCCATGTAAATATTCATAATTAAATTACTAATTATTTAGTCATTAAGCTGTCCTATTAGTTACAAATAACTTAAGAACAATGGTGTAGAAAACATTCATAAAGCAAGAGAAAATGCAAGGTTCTGAAATATGCCACCATTACTGTTTGAAGGGTCTAATTTTCCCCCAATTATCTTCACAAGTGTTTTTCAATCATATTTTAAAAGTCACCCACAGTTTACTTAAAGAAAAAAATTACATCATTTGAGATTTTATTTCCCATGATATATTTAGTGTCATATTTTTACTACATTAATTCCAAATTGTGGCTTTACCAGTTACAAGGGAGATGTCTGGTATCTGTAACATTTCTACTCATATTTGTAAATGTCTTTTTTATTTCAAGTTGGGCATCGGTGGTATTCCAAAGCTGTACATAGTGAATACCTGTAAGATCCATCATACTGTATTTAGAACACAGAAGGAATCAGACCCTTTGCACACGGGTACAGCCTAACTGGGGAGTAAAAATGCATGCACACAGCACACAGAGGGGTCAGGGAGGGGAGCAAGAAAGGATCCAATACAACTTAATACATGGCCTGCTCAAATGACTGGTGGAGACATTAGTGTTTTCAGCATTCGGTGGCATCATGGTCACTAGGAGAAAGGATGGTCCAGAGAGCCTCCCAGGGAGGACGACCCAGGCTGTGCTGGTGGATGAGTGGGAATCAGCGAGGGGAGGAGAGGGGGGTACAGGGCCATGTGGATAGGTCCAACGCTATTCAGGCACTAGATCAGCTGGAAGAGATGGGATTGAATACAAACAGAGAGAAAAGGAGACAGAGGACACACAGAGAGAGACAGAGAGAGAGGAAGAGAAGCTGATATGAGGGCAAAACATAGAATGCGTCAAACAACAAGTTAGAGATGGTAATTCAGGAATTAATGCAGAGTTATCACAGAATTCTGAATAATCAAAAACCAGAAGCTCAATTATAAAAAATAAACTTTTAATGTCCAGTTGATTAATCAGAAACTTCACAAACATGCCAATGATCTTAGATTCAGGGAGTATTAAATTTCAATTCATGAATTTAGTAACATAATTTGATTAAGTGTATGTACCTCAAAAGCTTTGTCCAGAAGGTTCTGCTCTCTTAGTTGATTTCCTTTTGTGAAGAAAAGTTCAGAAATGACCTTTGGGTCCTTTGGTTTCAGCTGGAGAGCCTTGTCTATAGAGTCAAGTGCCTGTATGGGTTGGAAATTAAAACAGAATAAATGTAGACTAGATAAAGGAAAACAAATTTAAATGATAAAATTTATACCTTTTTGTTCTTTTTTTAAAATATTTTTCCAGGTCCTCTTTTTATTTTTTTTATTAAAATTTTTTATGGATTTCAGAGAGGAAGGGAGAGGGAGAGAGGGAGAAGGAGAAACATCAATGATGGGAATCATGGATCGGCTGCCTCCTGCACATCCCCAGTGGGGATGGAGCCCACAACCCCGGCATGTGCCCCTAACCAGAATCAAACCCTGGACCCTTAAGTGTGCAAGCTGACACTCTATCCACTGAGCCAAACTGGCTAGGGCTACTTTTGTTCTTATGAACTAGCAGGGGTGGCAAGTGACAATCAATTCTTAATTCTCTTTAATGTTCTCAATAAGAATTTAGCTCTGATGAAGTAACTTCCTTATGCTCTAGGTTTCCATTTATATCAGTGACAATGAAATGTCCCTGAATCACTTTACAGGGAGGTTATATGATCTAGTTGAAAGAAAACAAAATAATTCCCTGACTGTGTGCCCATCTGGACCCTCCCATAGCCTCTGCTTCGGTGCCTGGTGCTCACTCTGCCCTCACCACACACTGCTCCAGCCCACGCACCCAGAGATCTCTTCGAAGCACACACCTGATGGTGTTGCTCTTCTGCTTAAAACCCCAAGGCTTCTCCCAGGATAAGGAACAAGACTTCTGTCCTGGTTCCTAGCCTTGAGGTCTAGTCCCCAACATACTCTGCAGCCATATGTTACACTGCACCCTGCTCCCTCATGCCCATCCCTCAGACAGGCTAATCGCTATTGCCACAGGGCCTTTGCATGTGCTGTTTTTCCTGGAATGCTCTTCACTGCCTACCTTTTGTCTAATAATTCCTATTCATCACTCAGCCCTCACTTTCACATCACTCTGCAGGGAACCTGACCTCCAATACCACTCAGGTCCCCTGATTATATTCTTGTTAGGGACCATGTCATTCTTCATGATATCGCTGAGCACAGCTATAATTCTACTACATTGATCTTGTGATTACCTGTCCAATCTCTGTCTCCTGTAAACTCCTGTCTACTGTAAATTCCTTGAGGACAAGGGTGATGATTTTATTTTGGTCATACCACTTTATTCCTGGTGTCTACTACAGTGTTTGACATGTAGTAGGTATTCAATCAGTATTTTGTTGAATTAGTTCATGAGTTTACTGGTTATGTAACCTTTAAAATGGAGATAAACAATAACAGTTGCAACACAGGGTTAATGACCTGCCTTACAGGCTTGTTGTAAGGATTGCATAAAAAATATTTAAAGAAAATGGAAAATGATAAAGTATACAAATGTTAGTCTTTATCTTTTCTAGAGTCAGCTGAAAACAAACTGAGATAATACCACATAAAAATCTTCAGACCAAGAGTGAGCTAAGCCCATATTATGTCAGGGGATATCTTAAGAGTTAAAGGGATACCTGTGAAAAGCACCCATGAGATAGGATATGCCAACTGATGATATTCAAGACAGCTCAGCCTTGTTACCGTGCAGCCTGGAGCCCATTTAGGGGCTCCCCATTTTCTACCTACAAATCCAAGAAACTCCAGTGTCCTCTGTACCTTGTTGTGCTGCTCCTGCTTGCTGTAGATTGCTGACAGCAGGCGATAGCATTCAAGGCATCCAGTGTCCTCTGATACAATGTGATTGGTCATCTTTTCAGCTTCTTTCGTCTGACCCATCATGGCCAAAACCTGAGCCTGCAAAACCACACTGACCTTGGCTTAGAGACATTTCATTATTACCTCATCAAATAAAGCATCCTTGAACGGAGGCACTGGGAAACACCCCAGACAAAAGTGCTGAGCACCTGTTTGTGACACACAGACAGGGACAAATCGCCACAGCATCGAGGCTCTAACTTTTGTTGCCTGTTATTTATGTATGTGCATGCATTTCCATGTGAATGGCGGGAACGTTAAAAATATTCAATGAAATGACTTGTGCCTTTTTTAAAAGTTGACTAAATATGTCAAAAGAGAAATGATTTCCTGTGTTTGTAACAAGATAAGTGTCATGTACTGAAAATCTGAGGAAAAGAAGTATTGATCCAAGGTTGAAATAAAAAACATTGTTATTGTTAATTTCCCTGACTTTGAAAACCATACTGTGGTTATGTTAGAGAATGTCCTTATTCTTAGGAACTATATGCTGATTATTTAGAAATCAAAGGAATGAGGCCTATAATTCTCACGTGGCTCAGGAAGAAATGACATCAATAATGTGTATATGCACACAATACTTGCCTAAATATGCACATGTATACATATATGTCATACACACATACATACATCCATGAGAAGGTGGTAAACAAATGCATAAAAATGCTGAAAACTGCTCAATTTGGGTGAAAGAGGATACGGGAGTTATTTAATATTCTTGCAAATTTTTGCAAGTTTAAAATTATTTCCAAACAAAAATTAAAAAGTATTTTTAGCATCCAGGCCTTGTATAAATGGCTCTAACATTGGTTAAATGAATATTTATAACATGGATCTATTATAGCAATTCCGGTTCCCGTTCTGAGGCCTGCTGACCACAGCTCCCTCAGCTGCATGCTCTGTGTCTGTTCCCAGCTTCATGTGCGTAGCCCACGTACTCACCAGGGCCAGGCGGAGTTCCCGGTGAGAAGGCTGAAGTGCCGCAGCTTCCCGGTAAATCTGCAAGGCCTCTTCATAACGGCCCGTGTTGTAGAATAGTGCTCCCAAAGGCGACAGGGTCTCCGCTTTGCGTGCCACCTTCAGGGCGCTGAGTTTTAAGAAAGGCGGATTAACACTTTTCTTCTGGTAGGTACACTTCCGAAGGTCAGAACTTAGGGATGGCTGTCCAGGTTTGAGATTTTGTGCCAATATGATCTTTGTTCTTATATCAAGAAGCATGTTTAAACAACATCGCAGTGCCATTCTCTGACTATATGAACATCTCTAGTGGCCTAACAGGGTGGAAACTGAGCCCCAGGGTCTATTCCAGCAATGGTGACAGACTTGTTGTGATGTATGCATAATATTTCATTTATATCCACTTTTGAAACTGCTATTGGTGCTTTGGGTTGCAGTCCATCACTTCAGAAAACAGTGGGAATTAAATTCCAACCTTGGTTAGCACCATGTTCTAACCAGCGGGCAAGAAAGTCATTAACTGGGATACCCCTGACAGTGTTGCATTGTTCTCTTTGGCGATAAGAATCTGTATTGCCTGCACCGGCAAAATTTGTTAGCATTCTGATAATATACCTGTCCCAATGAATTAAAAATTTGATGCTGTGGTCAATAATATAATAACAGTACAGGGACAGGTGGTTACTAGCTTTATCGTGGTGATCACATCGTAAGGTATATAAATGTAGACTCACCTAAAACTAATATGTCAAATGTACTTAAAAAAATTAAAAACATTTTTTTAAGTTGATGGGCAATTGCAGAGGTCTTTGGGCGACTTAAAATTGAAAGAAAAGACGTTTACCGTTTGTACCACTCTTCAGCCATGCTGTTGTCTCCCAGGGACCTGTAGAGCCTCCCCAGGTTCACCATGGCCACGTCATGACTCGGGCTAAGTTTGATGGCCTGTTGGTAATGGGCCACTGCCTTCTCGGGAGATCCTATAACCAGAGGTGCGTGAGAAGAGCAGAACATGCCTTAATTATAAAATACACGAGGGCTTTCATTTCTCTTCTGATGTACATCATTCTTCTTACAGAGCCATGCCATCAATTATTCAGCGTGTGAATTACTGTGCATTCGGGCTTCTTCTCCTTGCCACTGCCTAACTTTGAGCCATTTAACGTTTCATTCCCATTTCCAGAGAAATTAACAATTAAAAAGCAATAGAAACAGGCCCATTCTTGCACTCCAGTATGCTCTGCTTGGGGCTCTCGCCCCTCCCGGTGATTTTCCTGTTATTCTCATTGTAGGTTTCATGATTAATGGCCTTTGGTTTCCAGCAAAAGCCTCACCCAGTTTCTAAGGACCACCTACACCTGGCCCCCACCTGCACCTGGTCCCACTGGTTACTCTGACTGACCCTTACAAGAGACATAAATATCCCGCGTCCCCCCTCGCCCCCTGCTGATGCAGTTTTGGCTTCAGCCTTTCTGCTAGCAGATATAACAATAAATCTATAATTCATAATTCTTTACCCCTATTGGCCTCATGCATTCTTTCTTCAGCGACCCTGTTTCTTTTAATATATATATTATATATTATTAATTTTAGTCAAAGTGCTTTCTGGCCATTACCCTAGCTAATATGATGTGTTGAGATTATCAGTGGTTGTTATTTATAAAGATGTGTTGCTACTCATTATGCAAAAACATGGAATTGGCTATTATAGAAAGAAAACTGTCCTGAAGTAATTTCTAAGTGTCTGTCTCAATTACTATACTACAGCATCGCACCTGAGACACTGCTTTAAATAAGAATGTATTGCAGGAAGAGATTAACCAAGAACATATGCTTATATGCATAATCCATGGACAGAGACAATAGTGCGGTGAAGGCTGGGGGAGGGGGTAGGAGTGGGTTGGAGGGGGGCAATCAGAGGAAAAAGGGGAATCTGTAATACTTTCAACAATAAAGATAAATTAAAAGTAAATAAACAAATTAGCATGTATTAGCTGTACCTAAAAATATTTTTAACCACATATTTTTAGAAGGCATTAATTTTAAAAAAGTAATGCCACCTTGCATTTGTCCAATATATTGTACATTTTAAAACACTTTCATTAAGTGGTCTCATATGATCTTTGCAGGTATTTTTGATGTTATTTAGCTGCCTATTGATACCGCGTAGCTGCCTCTTAGGACTTAGGACCTATTAGGGTAAACAAAATTATTGCTTGCAGATACAGACACTAAAGTGCAAAGACATTCAGAGACTTGACAGGGATCCCAGGGCAAGTGAGGGTAAAGGCCAGAACTAGAATCAAGTCTCTCTAGTCTGAGAAGGTTCACCACAGAAGCTTCCTGTGAGAGTATGTCTAAGTAATGGAGCGGTAGAAGAGTCTAATGTTTAGATGGAGTGGGACGTTATGACCCACACAGGCATCTTCTCAAGAGAAACCCACCTTTTTTGAATGCAAGTTTAAGTAGGAGTGCCAGATTACTGGTGATGGGGGGAATTGCACCAGTATAAAAACATAAATATAGAGAAAGTGGTGGGAAGGTACATAGTATTGTCAGTGGTGTTTATTGGGGTGGGGTTTTTTGTTGAAGTAGAAGGAAGAGGACTAGATCAGGCCTATGGGCCTCTTCCGGTGCTTACATCTTTGTGTTATGGGCTTTATTATGATGTTGCTAATGAACCAGCAGGTGGCACTACAAAACCATTTTACATGTAAAAATATGGGCAGTTTCTAAGTGTATCACAATGTAAATTTATGTTCTCTAAAACAGAAGAACTTCCAACATCCTCCAAAACAAAACCCTTTAGAATATTTCACACTGACAAAATGATTAAAATTAACTTTTACTGCAGGGCCGGTAGCAGGTAGTATAATAGTTAATGGGAACAAAGTAGTGCTTTTGCATTAAATTCAAATGTTTTTTTTTTAAATCTTTTATAGTGTTCATAGCATGCCAACAGTATATGGAGCACAAGTCATAAAGAAAACAGAATCCCTGCTCTGTCAAGTTTTGCATTAAATAGGATGGAGTAAGTGTGTTTTACATAGCACTGTCATATAAGAGTACTTTATCAATTACAATAATACAGTTTCTGTAACGTATACCACATGAGGAACAATATAATAACTCTGGAGGCTTTTTAAAAAAATCAGTTGCAGAAAAGTATTTACCATCTGCTAGTAACGAGATTCAGAGCAGGTTGTGCATCATTGTAGAGGAACATTTCATTATCATAGATTTATAAACTTGTATAAATGGTACTCAAAGAAGAGCCATTAAATCATCAAGACTACTTACTGTCTCCTGGGGAGTTTCCCTAAAGATATGATTATAAGAACTGGGCACTTTTACTGAACTGAGCCTGAAGATTTAGATAAATGACAGCTCCATGGCACACTGTGACTGTCAGTGGTGTTAGCATCCTGCCAAGCCCAGTGAATTGTACTTCCGAGGCATTATTTGGGTGGTTGCCATTTTGCTCGAGAGCATTATCTAATCTCAACAGAACAGATTCTCTCTAATTTCACTTACCAGTATCAACTAAGAAAACTCCATAGTTGTTGTGTAAGTCTGAGCTATCTGGACAGTTCTTTATTCCAGCCTGGTACATTTCCTCAGCTTCCTTAAATCTCTCCTTTACAAGAGAATAAAGAAAAATAAATGAGAAAGTTGAAAGAATTAACAATAAAATGAATAGAAGTGAGAAAAGCAGGAAAAAATTTACTGAGCACCTATTAATCAATAGGCACTGAGATCAACACGAGGTACTCTTCTGAATTAAAGTCAATGATAACTGCATACACGCCCACAATTCATACCTGTGCTTCGTTCCTTTGTGGCAAACAGCTGATGTCCACTGAGATACCTGGAAGGATTTGCTCTATAGCTGGAAATAGCCTCAAAATGGTTGTTTGAATGGGATGCCCTCCACCCAGTAAGTCTCTGGATGAAAATGGGTGACTCATCAATATAAGAATACTTCCTAGGTGGCAATCTGACTGGGAGACAGAGAGGCCTGGGATAGTTGTCTTACAGCTGCATTTGTATAGGTAGTACTCTTTTTAGCTGCACTGTATGGTTTATTTGGAGAGGTTTGTGGGGGGGGGGCGCGGAGAGTGGGAGGAGAGGTGGATGCAGATTATGGGAGGCTTTGTCATATCCCTTCTTTTTTGAAATATTTCTTATAGCCCACCCAACTATTTGCCACTTTCCTTTATCCAACCTGTGCTTTCCATCTCTAAGCTATTCCTTCCAACAGGAATATACGTCCCCTCAAAGGCATGCCTGCAACTCCTACCTCTGTGGCAAGGTCCAAGTCAACCACCACTTCTCCAGTGGATCATTTTCTAATTGCCCTGATCTACTCTCTGAGCATTCACGGAACATACTTTAATAACTCTGAATTAGCTTTTAAGCACTTCTTTTTCTCTACAACCACCTTAGATTGTCATGTCACATACACCTCACAATGTAGAAGGTAACAGATAATTAATGAATCGACGTTACCCAGGTTCTAACAATTTCTCACAAGTAAACAAGTTCATAGTTCCCTAGTACTATTGTAAGGTCAGGTGAAAATAAATGATTTGGCATCAAGCACATCACAACTTTTCCTTTAATATGCTTGGAACGTGGACATTTTCTGTAATTTTATCACAAGTTACTACTACCAAGCATTCAACTCAATGACAAGGGAAGGTATGGCATCAGTTTTCTCAGACATGACACCTTAAGCTTGTGAATGAAAATGTATTGAGAGCACTCAGCATAAGCCAAGAAGCCTAACTCTGCTTTGACCCAGAAAAGTAAAGACAGTTTACCTTCTGCAGAATGACAGAGGCCATTTCTTCAAATCCACACATTGAAGTACCATTTTGGGAACAAAGTGTGGTTTGAATCTGGCAAATTTCACTTATCTAAATTATAGAATCACTAGAGGGCCAGTGCACAAAATTTGTGCATGGGGGGGGGGTGGTGGTGGATGTGGGGTCCGTCAGCCTGGCCTGCACCCGCTCACAATCCAAGACCCCTCAGCGGATGT